TTGTGCTTTGATAACAGGTATGTTTCACATTCAGTGTTGTGCTTTGATAACAGGTATGTTTCACATTCAGTTATGTGCTTTGATAACAGGTATGTTTCACATTCAGTGTTGTTCCTATGAAAATAGGTTTGTTTCACATTCAGTGTTGTGCTTTAATAATAGGTATGTTTCACATTCAGTGTTATGTTTGATAATAGGCATGTTTCACATTCAGTGTTGTGTTTGATAATAGGTATGTTTAACATTCAGTGTTGTGTTTGATAATAGGTATGTTTCACATTCAGTGTTATGTTTGATAATAGGTATGTTTCACATTCAGTGATGTGCTTTGATAACAGGTATGTTTCACATTCAGTGTTGTGCTTTGATAATAGATATGTTTCACATTCAGTGTTATGTTTGATAATAGGTATGTTTCACATTCAGTGTTGTGCTTTAATAATAGGTATGTTTCACATTCAGTGTTATGTTTGATAATAGGCATGTTTCACATTCAGTGTTGTGTTTGATAATAGGTATGTTTCACATTCAGTGTTGTGTTTGATAATAGGTATGTTTCACATTCAGTGTTATGTTTGATAATAGGCATGTTTCACATTCAGTGTTGTGTTTGATAATAGGTATGTTTCACATTCAGTGATGTGTTTGATTGCAGGCATGTTTCGCTTTGTTTACAGGTATGTCTCACATATTCACTTTTAGTGATGTGCTTTGATTACAGGTATGTTTCAAATTCCCCAATGAGCTCTGATTACAGGTAGGTTTTTCATTAAGTGTTGTACTTTGATCGCAGGTAGCTTTCACATTCACTGTTGTATTTTGATCACAGGTCGGATTTACATTGAGTGATATGTACAACCTTGTAGTTGTGTGTTTTATATTTTAAACTGTACAACCTTGTTTTGTGTATTTTATACTTTATACTGTACAACCTTGTAGTTGTGTGTTTTATACATTATATGCACAACCTTGTAGTTGTGTGTTTTATACTTTATATGCAAAACCTTGTAGTTGTGTGTTTTATACTTTATATGCACACCCTTATAGTTGTGTGTTTTATACTGTATATGTACAACCTTGTAGTTGTGTGTTTTATACTTTATATGTACAATCTTATAGTTGTGTGTTTTATACTTTATATGTACAACCTTGTAGTTGTGTGTTTTATGCATTTTATGTACAACCTTGTAGTTGTGTGTTTTATACATTATATGCACAACCTTGTTTTGTGTGTTTTATACATTATATGTTCAACCTTGTAGTTGTATGTTTTAAAAATAATATGCATAACCTTGTTTTGTGTGTTTTATATTTTATATGTACAACCTTGTAGTTGTGTGTTTTATACTTTAGATGTACAACCTTGTAGTTGTGTGTTTTATACTTTATATGTACAACCTTGTAGTTGTGTGTTTTATACTTTATATGTTCAACCTTGTAGTTGTGTGTTTTATATGTAGAACCTTGTAGTTATGTCTTTTATACTTTAGATGTACAACCTTGTAGTTGTGTGTTTTATACTTTATATGTACAACCTTGTAGTTGTGTGTTTTATACTTTAGATGTACAACCTTGTAGTTGTGTGTTTTATACTTTATATGTACAACCTTGTAGTTGTGTGTTTTATACTTTATATGTACAACCTTGTAGTTGTGTGTTTCATACTTTATATGTTCAACCTTGTAGTTATGTGTTTTATACTTTACATGTACAACCTTGCAGTTGTGTGTTTTATATGTACAACCTTGTAGTTATGTGTTTTATACTTTATATGTACACACTTGTAGTTGTGTGTTTTATACATTATATGCACAACCTTGTTTTGTGTGTTTTATACATTATAAACGCAACCTGGTTTTGTGTGTTTTATACTTTATATGTACAACCTGGTAGTTGTGTGTTTTATACTTTATATGTACAACCTTGTAGTTGTGTGTTTTATACTTTATATGTACAACCGTGTAGTTATGTGTTTTATACATTATATGCACAACCTTGTTTTGTGTGTTTTATACTTTATATGTACAACCTTGTAGTTGTGTGTTTTATGCATTTTATGTACAACCTTGTAGTTGTGTGTTTTATACATTGTATGCACAACCTTGTGTTGTGTGTTTTATACTTTATATGTACAACCTTGTAGTTGTGTGTTTTATACTTTATATGTACAACCTTGTAGTTGTGTGTCTTATACTTTATATGTACAACCTTGTAGTTGTGTGTTTTATACTTTATATGTACAGCCTTGTAGTTGTGTGTTTTATACTTTATATGTACAACCTTGTAGTTGTGTGTTTTATACTTTATATGTACAACCTTGTAGTTGTGTGTTTAAGACATTATATGCACAACCTTGTAGTTGTGTGTTTTAAACTTTATATGTACAAACTTTTAATTGTTTTATATTTTATACGTACAACCTTGTAGTTGTGTGTTTTATACTTTTTATGTACAACCTTGTAGTTGTGTGTTTTATACTTTATATCTACAACATAAAGTTGTGTGTTTTATATTTTATATGTACAACCTGCGATGTTTTTAAGTGACTTGACTTGTATTTTTGAACTGCAATAATTGGATATTTTGAAATATCTTATAGTTGTGTGTTTTATTCTTTTATGCATTTTCTTACTGTCATGTTTTGAGGTGACTTATATTTATGTGTTTTATTCTGTTTATGTTCCTACTGTCATGTTTTGTAGTGACTTATAGTTGTGCGTTTTATTCTGCTAATGTTCTTACTGAAATGTTTTGTAGTGGCTTATAATTATGTGTTTTATTCTGTCAATGTTCTTACTGTCATGTTTTGAAGTGACTAACATATGTGTGTTTTATTCTGTTTATGTTCTTACTGTTATATTTTGAAGTGACTAACAGTTGTGTATTTTATTCTGTGTATGTTCTTACTGTCATGTTTTGAAGTGACTAACAGTTGTGTGTTTTATTCTGTGTATGTTCTTACTGTCATGTTTTGAAGTAACTAACAGTTGTGTGTTTTATTCTGTTTATGTTCTTACTGTCATGTTATGAAGTGACTAACAGTTGTGTATTTTATTCTGTGTATGTTCTTACTGTCATGTTTTGAAGTGACTAACAGTTGTGTGTTTTATTCTGTGTATGTTCTTACTGTCATGTTTTGAAGTGACTAACAGTTGTGTATTTTATTATGTGTATGTTCTTACTGTCATGTTTTGAAGTGACTAACAGTTGTGTGTTTTATTCTGTGTATGTTCTTACTGTCATGTTTTGAAGTGACTAACAGTTGTGTATTTTATTCTGTGTATGTTCTAACTGTTATGTTTTGAAGTAACTAACAGTTGTGTGTTTTATTCTGTTTATGTTCTTACTGTCATGTTTTGTAGTGACTTATAGTTATGTGTTTTCTTCTGCTAATGTTCTTACTGAAATGTTTTGTGGTGGCTTATAGTTAGGTGTTTTATTCTGTCAATGTTCTTACTGTCATGTTTTGAAGTGACTAACAGATGTGTGTTTTATTCTGTTTATGTTCTAACTGTCATGTTTTGAAGTGACTAACAGTTGTGTATTTTATTCTGTTTATGTTCTTACTGTTAAGTTTTGAAGTGACTAAAAGTTGTGTATTTCATTCTGTTTATGTTCTTATTGTTATGTTTTGAAGTGACTAACAGTTGTGTATTTTATTCTGTTTATGTTCTTACTGTCATGTTTTGAAGTGACTAACAGTTGTGTGTTTTATTCTGTGTATGTTCTTACTGTTATGTTTTGAAGTGACTAACAGTTGTGTATTTTATTCTGTTTATGTTCTTACTGTCATGTTTTGAAGTGACTAACAGTTGTGTGTTTTATTCTGTGTATGTTCTTACTGTTATGTTTTGAAGTGACTAACAGTTGTGTATTTTATTCTGTTTATGTTCTTACTGTCATGGTTTGAAGTGACTAACAGTTGTGTGTTTTATTCTGTTTATGTTCTTACTGTCATGTTTTGAAGTGACTAACAGTTGTATGTTTTATTCCGTTTATGTTCTTACTGTTATATTTTGAAGTGACTAACATATAAGTGTTTTATTCTGTTTCTGTTCTTACTGATATGTAATGAAGTGACTAACAGTTGTGTATTTTATTCTGTTTATGTTCCTACTGTCATGTTATGAAGTGACTAACAGTTGTGTATTTTATTCTGTTTATGTTCTTACTGTCATGGTTTGAAGTGACTAACAGTTGTGTATTTTATTCTGTTTATGTTCTTACTGACATGTTTTGAAGTGACTAACAGTTGTGTGTTTTATTCTGTTTATGTTCTTACTGTCATGTCTGAAGTGACTAACAGTTGTGTGTGTTATTCTGTCAATGTTCTTACTGACATGTTTTGGAGTGACTAACAGTTGTGTATTTTGATCTGTCGATGTTCTTACTATCATGTCTGAAGTGACTAACAGTTGTGTATTTTATTCTGTTGATGTTCTTACTGTTATTTTTTGAAGTTACTTATAGTTGTGTGTTTTAGTCTGTTTCTGTTCTTACTGATATGTTTTGAAGTGAGTAACAGTTGTGTGTTTTATTCTATTTATGTTCTTACTGTTATGTTTTGAAGTGACTAACAGTTGTATGTTTTATTCTGTTTATGTTCGTACTGTCATGTTTTGAAGTGACTAAAAGTTGTGTGTTTTATTCTGTTGATGTTCTTACTGTCATATTTTGAAGTGACTAAAAGTTGTGTATTTCATTCTGTATTAATCTGCTGTATTGTTAACCAGCAAGGTTTAAGTTATTTAAAGTAAGTGTTTTATACTGTTTATGTTCAACTGTCAGGTTTTGAAGTAACATGCAATTGTATTTCATTCTATTACAATTTGCTGTATTTTGAAGTAACATGTATTTATGTGATTTTTATCGCTCAAGTAAGATCTACTATATTCTGAAGTTATCTGTAGTTGTGTGTTTTTTTTTTACTGTACATAATTAATTTGCTCTAGTACTAATTTGGATGTTACTACTGTACCTAATGAGACTGTTTTACTTACATCTTGATAATCAATGTCTGCTTTATTCTCTAGGCATATTTTCACATCGTTTACATTTCCAGTCCGAGCATCTGCAAGAAGTTTCTGTAAGTGAAACATAGATTTTACATTTAATAGATTGTAATGAAAAATAAATGAAACAACTGTTAAATAAAGCAATAATTATTTATTATCCTGCATGACAAATAACTATATAAATCGGGGGTATCCTCACTTCAAATAACATTCAGGCAGAGAGGATATGTACCGATTATCAGGTTGTCTGCATATTGACATTGTTAAGAGTCAGCTGTGATTCACAATATGATGCCCTCACAGATGCAGAGTGTTATTTTAACATACACAAAGTTGAGCATGGGAGCACATAGGTCTATGGTTCACTGTAGGAGGAGTTATCTGGAAACGCTATGCGCCTCTTAAATATGCAAAAATATACTCCAAAAATGATAAAGTTCAACTATCTCCCAAAAGAGCAAATATTATTCAAAATCTAAACCCAGACGACATGCACACCTTCAATATATGTTCAAACAGCCAGCAAAGTTAAAACTTCCTAGCATTCAAACTGTAGGAGGAGTTATCTGGAATAACTATATACCCATAATGGGACGGCATGACAGACAGGGGTAAAACAATATGCCCTAGCTTTCAGTTGATGGGACATAAAACAAACTTTTGGATAACAATGGTGCGTTGTGTCAATTTACACGTTATCCCATAAAATAGATATGTTTTTTTTTCAACTAACGAACTTAACAATTGCAAGAGGAGAGAACTTCTGTATTTTTTATTTATTAAAAATTGTCCAATATTTTCTCTAACAACTCAATAGGGTTATGTATTTGACATTGTAAACAAGCATTCTGAAGGTACTAGATATAGAATAAACCTTGAGAGAGTGTATACACTTATATTAAAAAAACATTTAATACATTTCTGAAAATGAAAACACCTCAAACACTTAACTGCCACTAAATTATGCATGATAATCAGCTCCAAATTACTGACACCATGACCTCAGAGGATTTCTGGCAAGTTACTAATGATTTATTAAAAATAAATAGGGAATGTGTCCATGGGAAACAGATGATGCCCCCGCTTGCATATAACGTTATAAAGGGCCATAACTCAAGAACTGTAAAAGTGACACTACCAACATTTGAACTTGATCTGAGTTTTGTGGTATTAAGAATTGTTTATAAGTTTCATAACATTTAGTTGACGTAAATTCAGCAATTTTTCCATTTTTAAAGGGCATAACTCTAGAACGGTAAAAGTGACGCCAACAAAATTCAAACTTAATCTGTGTATTGTGGTAATTAGCATTGTGTATAACATTTGGTTGAGGCATACTAAAGTTAGAGAACAAAAACTAATATTTCAGCAATTTGTTCCAATGGAAAGAGGCATAACTTTAGAACGGTGAAAGTGACACCACCAAAATTCAACATTGATCTGTGTTTTGTGGTAATAAATATTGTGGATAAGTTTCATAACATTTGCATGATTTGGTTGAGGTAAACTCAAGTTAGAGAACGGAAACAAAAAAATCAGGAATTTTTTCATTTGTAAAGGAGCATAATTCTAGAATGGTAAAAGTGACGCCACCAAAATTCAAACTTGATCTCTGGTTTGTGGTAATAAACATTGGATAAGTTTCATAACATTTGGTAGAGACAAACTAAAGTTTGAGAACGGAAACGAAAAATTCAGCAATTTTTCCATTTGTAAAGGGGCATAACTCTCGAACGGTGAAAGTGATGCCATCAAAATTCAAACTCGATCTGTGTTTTGGGGTAATAAGCATTGTGGATAAGTTTCATATCATTTGGTTGAGGTAAACTAAAGTTAGAGAACGGGACGTTGGAATTTTGGGACGTACGGACGGACGTACGGACGTACAGACGGACAAGGGTAAAACTTAATGCCCCCTCCGCTATGGCGGGGGCATAAAAATAAAACAGGCAAGAAATTTCATGCAGTTTATGCCTATCTTTACTATGAGTTGTTATTAGCAACACCTAAGTCAAATGTTTGTAGTGCATTTTTCTTTGTCCCAATCTTTGTTGTGTTTGTTTTATCTTTGATCTTGTAATATCTTTTTTTGTTGGTCACGTAGAATTCTACTAGTTTGTATCTCAAATCATCACATACATGTATTTTTGGTAAGAAAATGGAAATAAAAGGTCACATGACAATTGGACTTAAATCTTACCTTATTCCAATATTCCATTATATCCTAAAAATAGAAAAAAAAATATTTAAAATATATACTGTTGTAGTTATCATTGAGTTATAATTGTTAATGCCAATTGAAAATACATGATCATTATGGACTTGAAAATTACTGACCTAATGTTTCCAGATATTAATCTAATCCAAAAACATGTAATACTAGCATCTAAAAGACTATCTCAACTTTTCTGCACTATTTGAAATTTGTGTCGCTCACCTGGTGAAAATATCGCTAGTTTGCTCACTACGATTTTTATATGCACATACTAGTTACTCTTTGTGTTGCTGATAATTTTTGCAATTTACATATTTAACCTAGGTCCTATAGGTTTTTAGATAACAGCCAAAACTGCAAACAATGAGTACACACGCTGAAATGTCTCGCCTTCTTTACTGACCATTTATGTTGATATTCCTTAATATAAAGTTTTACTACAAGTATCACATGAACTTAATATGATCAAAGAAAATGAGGTCAAGGTTAGATAAACCAAGCCAGAAATAAATGTACGTCTTACAATCATTCAATACACCAAATATAGTTGATCTTTTGCTAGTAGTATACAAGACAGACCAAATCATTAAAATTTTATATTGACAAATGAACCATGAAAATTAGGTAAAGGACAGATGAACCCTGTCAGGCAGACATATACACCTTACAATCATTCCATGGATCAAATATAGTTGACCTATTGCATATAGTATTTAAGGAAAAAACTAAACCAGGAAAACATCATAATGACCAATGAACCATGAAAAAGATGTCAAGTTGAGATGAAACCTGCAAGAAAGGTTTTCCTGTTTGAATTGTTTTACACTAGTCATGTTTGGGTCTTTATAGCTTGCTGTTCAGTGTGAGCCAAGGCTCCGTGTTGAAGGCCTTACTTTGACCTATAATGGTTTACTTTTTACACATTGTGCCTGGGATTGAGAGTTGTCTCATTTGCACTCATATCACATCTTCTTATATCTATATAGTATATACACTTTAAAATCATTCCATATACCAAATATAGTTGACCCATTGCTTATAGTTTAAGAAAAACGACCGAAACAAAAAACTTAACATTGAGAAATGAGCCATGGAAATGAGGTCAAGGTCAAATAAAACCTGCCAGACTAACTTGTACATAATAAAATATTTCCATACATCATATATAGTCGACATATTGCATACAGTACTAGAAAAACAGACCAAAACAAAATAACTTAACTATATCCAAAGAACCATGAAAATGAGGTCACAGTCAGATGACACCTGGCAGTTAGACATGTACAACTTACAATCATTCCATACACCAAATATAGTAGACCTATTGCTTATATGCTTATTTCTGAGATATGGACTTGACCACGAAAACTTAACCTTGTTCACTGATCTATGAAATGAGGTCAAGGTCAAGTGAAAACTAACTGGCAGGCATGCTGACCTTGCAAGGCACGCACATACCAAATATAGTTATCCTATTACTCATAATAAGAGAGAAATTAACAATACTAAAAAACTTGATTTTTTTTTCAAGTAGTTACTGAACCATGAAAATGAGGTCAAGAAAAATGGACATATCATATCATATAACAGACGGAAATTTCATAACATAAAACATCTATATACAGAGTATGAAACAGCCAAGTATTCTAGCTTCTGAAATATTTAGCTATTTAGTAGTTAGTTAGCGCCGCCATCGCCGCTGGGATCACTATCCCTGTCGAGCTTTCTGCGAGAGAAGTCGCAGGCATGAACAAATTAAAACCTGTAAAAATCAATATTTCAGGGGCAATAACTCTAAACTTGTAGTTAAAAAAAAAACTGAGTAAAAAGATCTTGTCATGCTGATCGTAATTATAGTTTACACTTTTAACCTATAGCTAGCTCCTATAGTTTTCCAAATAACAGGCAAAAATGAAAAAAATTGGAAAAATGTATTTTTCAGGGGCAATAACTCAAAAACAGGTTTACATATTTTTTTCAACATTTCCAGAGTTATAAAATCTTGTCAAGCTGACCATTTTTGTAATTTACATTTTTAACCTAGCGCCTACATGTTTATCAATAACAGGATAACACTTTAAATAAATGTGCTTCGCGAGCGCAGCTGGATACGACCGCTGAGGTCCAACCCTGAACAGTTGGGGAAAAAATGGACAAAATATTCAAGCTTGATACAGGTATGAATTTGGATTGTAATTAAATATTTGACACATTATAGGTTTCTGACACAGAATAAATGTAGTGAAAGAAATTGAAATTGGTTATATGATTTGAATTTATATTCAATTGAGGATTTCTTGCTGTTGTGCAATACACTGTGCTGTTGCGCAATACTTAGGAAATCTGTTTTCAGACTATATACAAAGAATTAGCAAAATAAATTGCGACCCCCAATTTTTTTTGGGGAAAATTGATACTTTCTTAAATCTTGAGGGAAAAAAATGACCCCACCCAAAAAATAATTTTGTTTACCCACCCTCCAAAACAATAATGGAAATTTGATAATTTCTTAAATCTTGAGGGTAAAAAATTGTCCCCCAAAAAAATATTTTTTGTTTACCCCCCTCCAAAAAAAATAATATTTGAAGAAATTTTCTTTTTATAAAATGTGGTACAATTTAAGAGACATCCATACATTTAAACACAAGTAATTGTCTGAAAACTTAGAAAAATGCTTGTTTTGGCCCCTTTTTGGCCCCTAATTCCTGAAAGGTGTGGGCAATTAGCCCCAAAATGAATTCCAACCTTCTACTTGTGGTATTGAACCTTGTGGTACAATTTCAGAGCAATCAAAATACTTATACACAAGTTATTGTCCTGAAACTAGAAAAATGCTTGTTTTGGGCCCCTTTTTGGCCCCTAATTCCTAAACTGGTTGGGACCATCACCCCCAAAAACAATCCCAACCTTCCTTTTGTGGTATTGAACCTTTTGATTAAATTTCATAGAGATCCGTACACTAAACATAATGTCTTCGGACGACGACAACGTGATAGCAATATAGGAACGCACATTTTTTGCGGTCGTATAAAAATGATTTTTCAGGGGCAATAACTCTAAAACAGGGTAACAGATTTTTCTCCAATTTTTAGGTTAGATACATTTTGTTGTGTTGCACCTTTTTGCAATTTATACTTTTAACCTAACTCCTATAGTTTTTATGATAACAGCCACCAACTGTGAAAAATTCTAAAATAGATAGTTCAGAGGCAAAAACAAGTGGTTAGTTTTTACCAAATTTTCAGGGTGGATACAACTTGTCGTGCTGATAATTTTTACAGTTTACACTTTTAACCTAGCTCCTATAATTTTGGTAGATCTTACTTTGTGGAACATTTTTGCCACTAAAGGTTTCTCTCTATCTATCATAGTTTCTGCATCTTTCAAGGGCAATAACTCCAATAAGGGATAAATTTACAATTTTGTTAAGTTTGACTTATTTGTAGATTTTTTTAAACTTGCTGAACATTTTTGCTGTTGAAATTTCTCTTTATCTTTAATAGTTTTCTAGATAAAATCGAAAAACAGAAACTTTAATAACAATTATTATTTCAGGGGCAGTAACTCCAAATAGGGTTGTCTTATTGGTTTGAAATTTTCGTGGCAGATGAATCTTTACATGCTTATCACATGTATCATTTTTATTTAGGTCAGTTTTGCTTTAACTGCTTTTTTTTCAGATATAAGCCATAACTTCTTTTTTTGCCCTATGTTTTATTTTCTTTGTCATGGCGGTCATGTTTCTTGATAGAAAAAAAACACAAACTTTATACTAGATACCTTAAGGATAATTCAGCCCAAGTTTTATAAAATTGGTCCCCTGTTTTCAGAGAAGATCTCTGAAAATGTTAACATCGGAAGACGGACAGACGACCGACGCAAAGGGATGGCAATAGCTCACATGGCCTTTTAGGCCAGCTGAGCTAAAAACTAAACTCAAAACCTTGTACATATATCTAATTACATACCTAAATGAGGTATTCTACAAACAGGGTGTGATTTTTACCTTCAAACACAAAAACATCAATTGCACTTTTGCCGACCTAAAAATTTCAAAAGTTTTATTTACCAGTATTAAGACAATATTGAATTCATTAATTTCCAGTCTCTCTAAAATAAACTGTCCACAAATGAGCAAGGCAATCATGGCAATCACATTAAACAATTGTTCTTTTTACACTCTCTTTGTGTGTCTGTCCATTTCGAGGAACCTGTAGTATAGTGGTTGTTGTTTGGTAGCTGTATTCCCTCCCCTGTTTTCATTGTTGTAATAGGCTGTTGATTTTCTCTTTTGATTTGTTACACTTTTTTTTTTATCATATCAGTGCTGTTTATAGATTTTTATATTATTATATGGTATTGGTTTTGTGCAATTTCGAAGGCTATTGAGAGACCTGTCAATCTGATGTTCAGTAGTTGTCGTTTGTTGATGTGGTTCATAAATGTTTCTCGTTTTTTATATAGATTAGACCGTTGGTTTTTCCGTTTGAATGGTTTTACACTAGTAATTTTTTGGGGCCCGTTATAGCTTGCTGTTCGGTGTGAGCCAAGGCTCCTTGTTGAAGGCCGATCTACGACCTATAATGGTTTAATTTTATAAATTGTGACTTGGAGGGAGAGTTGTCGCATTGGCACTCATACCTCATCTTCTTATATCTATTATCTGTAGTTGTTTATATCTTTGTCCTTCTGACTAGGGATAACTGTTTCACCATCATTCATACAACATCTCTTAATTAAAGAACCTTTGTGAGCACACTTATTAACCCAACATCCCCACATTGTCACTGGGCAAACAAAGTCTCGCCCAATTGCTAAGTTCAAAGACAAATAACTCCTACAAAAGTCAACTGATAAAAATTTCTTGAGTACATGCACATCTACATATTATGTCCTAATTATCTACAAAGATTCATGAAATTCTGTTGTGTGGTTTGAGAGGAGTTGCTATGCCAAGAACAGGACTGAGAGACGGACGGACTGACTGACTGACTGACTAACGGACTGACGGATGAGTCAAAAACATTATACCCTACTGAACTTTGTTCCATGGGGTATAATTATTATATAACAAAATGATATAATGATCAAAGATATATTCCCCCGCTTTCTAACAGGATTGAAGGTTCAAATTTACTTCTATTAGTAAGTTCTTAAATTTGCTTTAATTTGCTTTAAAGTATATAAGGTCCTGGACCATTTGAATTTTTAAGTGAAAGGCCCTTCAGAAAGTCATAGGTCCTTAAAAAAAAACATCAATGTAAAAAGATGGAAGGTTTTGGACTTTTGTATTTCAAAAACCAAAGGTTTCCTCTCAGAAATGAAAGGTTATGTACCTTGGACTTCCAATAATTTAAACCCTTGAAAAGTTAAGTCATAATATTTCAAAGTTTTATTATAAAGCCATATTTTAGGTTGGTGCATTAAAGTCCTTAAATCAACACGATCAAAGCCCTCTTCAAAAATGACACTAGCCTATTCTGTTTGTGCCTGTCTCAAGTCAGGAGCCTGTTATTCAGTTGTATCGTTTGTTGCTGTATATCATATTTGGTTTTGGTTTATTGTTTTTTTTACATAAATCATGCGATTATTTTTTTTGTTTTGTCAGATTGTTTTGCATTGGTAATTTCTGGGCCTTTTATAGAATACTATGCGATATGGGTTTCGCTCATTGTTGAAGGTAGTACAGTTACCTATAGTTGTTAACTTCTACGTCATTTGGTCTCTGGTGGAGAGTTATCTCATTGGCAATCATACCACATCTTCTTATTTTTATAAAGAAAACTTTGATGAAAAGTTTCTTTGTAAAATGAGCGTTGTAAAATTTCAATCTATTGGCAAAAGGGAAGTGGCTACACAGCAGATGCAAAAATTGCTAACATGCCACAACTCAAGATTATCAAGATGCAGACCAAATATAAAAGCATTCCCTTCCTTAGAAGCCAAGAAAAGTTTTACAAAAATTTTCCTTGAACAATGAGTGTTGTAAAATTTCAAACTTTTGAAAAAAGAAAATGGCTGCACGGCAAATGTTAAAATTTGTAACAGGCTACCACTCAACATTATCAAGGTGCAGACCTAATATAAAAAGGTTCACTTTAGGCCAAATATGGCCTTGAATTTCAACTTTATCAGAAAATTTCAAAATGGCCATAATTTGGTTTCTTAAATGGATCTATTTCAAAAGTCTTACTTCTTTGTTAAAATAAATCTCTTCATAAGAGTACATTCTTGGCTTCAAAATCAGCACATTTTAGATATACATGTATTGTCAAAATAAGATGATTTTAAGCATTTTTTCGGACCTAAAAGCTTGAGGCAACCCTTGGCTGCAACCTAGGATCCAAAATGTTCTGTAACCAAAAGTTGCCAATGATTAAATTGAATCCCTAGACACAAAAACTTTCTGGAACATGGGTTGCAGCCAAAGTAAATTATACAGAAAACTGTTAAGAATTATTGAAAATATGACCAAAGTTAATGTTTCAACTCAAATAATTCATACTTAAGGAGTTAATACTTCGTCATTTTTAATGTGATGTGCCAAACTGAAGTTATTTTGTATTTATAGTAATATCACATCTATTTCTATGTACAATTTGTAGCATTTTGGCCTGATTAAAAAAAACATCAAAATCTTATGGCCAATTTTAACCTGTCGTGAACTTACTCCTGTGTAACATGCTAAGACTCAACTTTATCAGCTGCAGACCAAATATAAAAGCATTCCCTTCCTTAAAAGCCAAGAAAAGTTTTACAAAAATTTTCCTTGTACAATTAGTGTTTCCAACAGGAGGTTTTGGCGTGGTATGGCGCCCTGCCATGTTTTCTTGACGCCCTGCCCTTTTTAGGAAAAAAAATTGGTGCCATGCCCCTTTATCGTTGTATTTTAGAACGCCCCACCGTAATTTAATATTTGTTCTGCAATCCATCTTTTAGCAAAACCTTTTCGATTTATTTCCCTTGGAACAAAATTAAAAATTTAATGGCCGACAATTTATTGAATTGAATTTCGTAATACAAGTAATAGCTTTTCTAAAAAGCTAGCCGACTTTAGCTGATGGAAGACGAAAATGTTTTCGCTTTGTAGTTTAATTCATTCAGAATAGCCTTGTATATAAATTGCAGTGGATTACAAAACTTATAAAAGGCTTATACAATTTTTTTGATTTACCAAAATCTTTTTTTGGGGAATGTTTGTATTAACACAGGAAACGGAGGGGTAATGTCTTAATCATCTGTGTTTGTAGCAAACTTTTGAAAATATTTTTTTTAATTTCAGTTTTTTCTGATAGATGGACTTTGTTTCTTACAGTTAACATTTACAGACAGTCTGGTATTAAACTTTTTTTTTGACATTTTCAAACCTCCATGGATTGTTATGAAACTTGGACATAAGCTAATCTTCATGACCAGGAAAAAGCATCTAACATGTCTAAAGAAAAAGTTTGAAATTTTTTTTAAAAATTCTTTATACTGATACATGGACTCACTTTTTAAGTCAACATTACACTTTACACTGATAGCAGCAATCACAGGCGACACAGGGTTCCCCGGAACCCCTTATGAATTTTTTGCTGTTAAGATATTTTTTTAAAGATATTTTTTTACATGTACAAAATGTATTTACAACTATGCTACATATTATAGCTAGACTTGGGAGGATAAAGAACTTAAAATATCGTAATGACATGTCCATTGTAAAAGACCGTATGTTAAACTTTAGAAGTAAATTGTTTAGTTTGTTGTTTAATTGGGTTGCTTTCTAAATACATTATGTATACTTCACATCTCCTTTTAGATCATGCATAAATATCAAATATTGCTTAAAATATGCTAGCATAAATGTAAAATTGGTTTTATCGTCTGGAGTTTTTTTTTAGTTTTCTGTTCTACAACGTCTGTTATCTTGATAGGAAGAGCTAGGGAGAGTTAGACAACGTCCAACCCAGCCCACACCCCGATCCCCTAAATATACTGGGGTGTGTGGAAAGGGGGAGGCACTTATTATAATGAGTGGAAGGGATGAGTCGCTGGTCGAGAAATTTAGGTGAAATACATAACAAGGTGGATGATTGTGAATCTGAAACTAATCAGATGTCGATATTTTTTTACAGATGCAATTAAAATTACTGTCGTAAATGCTTAATTCATTTGCCAAAACTATTCATCTCCGTTGAAATAGCGTAACAATGATAGCTATATGTAGGTATAATTATTGTAAAATAAAGGGAGGTTATCTTAACTGATATAAACCAGTCACCAAAGTTTAATGAAAACTGCTCAAAGCACTTTAAAGGTATTGTCCAAATACTATAAAATCACCCCTTTTTTATGAATAAAATCCCATAACTAGAAAGTGTAAAATCTAAAATTTATAAAAATTGAAAGGGAGCTTACATCAATAGATATAAACAATTCTCCAAAGTTTCATGAGAACTGCTGAAAGCATTTTTGAGTTATTCTCCGAAAACTGGAAAATCCCCCTTCGTTTTTAATGAATAAAACTCCATAACTCGGAAACATAAAATCTAAAATGTATAAAAATCAAAAGGAGCTCATGTCAAAAGATATAAACAATTGACCAAAGTTTCTTGCAAATTGGTGAAAGCATTTTAGATTTATTGTCCGAAAACTGGAAAATCCCCCCTTTTTTAATAAATAAAACCCTAAACTCAGAAACGTAAAATCTAAATTTTATAAAAAACGAAAGGGCGCTCACATCAATAGTGCAAATTGGTTGAAGCGTTTTTGAGTTAATGTCCGACATGTTGACGACAAAAAAAAGTCTTCTGGCAGTTTCGATGTAAATACATAGTAGGTGGATCTAAACATTCTGAATATTTGTGCCCATCAGATTTTCTCTACCTATAGCAGTTTTCAAAATAATTGACAAAACCTGCATTCTACCCATATAATCTATTTCTAGCCCTGTCAGCAATGTTGGTTCGCAGGGGGGTCACAGACACATTTTCTTAAACAGACTATAAAAGTCTTTTCTTTTCTATTATTATCTGTTTCTTTAAATTTGTTTCTTAGATACATAAAATAAATTATGAATGG